GGCTGGGAACACTGGTGCATGAGAGCAGTATTTGAACACATAATTCAGTCTTCAGTTTTGGCGACATGCATATGAGCTATTGCCAGGTCCCTGTACACAATGTGGAAGAATGGAGTTCAAGGCCCACCTTCGCCACTTACTGTTCTGTGACCTTGGTACATCGCTTCCTTCTCTGGCCCTCAGTGACATCATCAGTCAAATAAGATGACATGCATATGAGCTATTGCCAGGTCCCTGTACACAATGTGGAAGAATGGAGTTCAAGGCCCACCTTCGCCACTTACTGGTCTGTGACCTTGGTACATCGCTTCCTTCTCTGGCCCTCAGTGACATCATCAGTCAAATAAGAGTGATCTCAGCACCAGTGTTGACATCCTAGGAGCTCATGAGCAACGTCCTGCCATCTGCTTAAAGAAAACAAAGAGGGTGTTGGTGGTGGTGCTCAGCCAGCAGCGTGGGGGCACTTTGAGGCCAGAACTGGCATCTTTTTTATTTCCCAGGACAATGATAATTTTATCATTTTTCCTTATTACAAAAGCAGCACAAGGTCACTATAGGAAAAGCAGAATAGGGAAATAAGGAGAAGATAGGTCCTGGCCTCCCAGAGACAAGCTCTGCCAACCCCAGGGAACAGCCCTTCAGAGTTGGAAATGAAAAGCACATGTGTAGGGAAATCCAGCCATTTCTGGGAGATTGATAACAGACACCAATGTCTAGGAGGGCTTTCAAAAAGGACTGCAATTCTGCTCCGTGGCCTACCTGGTCAGTGAACGTCCCCAGCCCCCTGACTGGGAAACAGCCTTGTTCAGCCACACCAGTGTCATGTGAACTGGCTTTTTATGAACTTTGAGCAGTGAACACTTTTAAATAACCAAGCACAATCACCAGAGAATTTTAACAAGGAGTTTCACTTCTTGTTTTTTTTTTTTTTTTTTTTTTTTTCTCTTATTTCACTATAGGAGATTCAGGTAACCTTCTCTGCAGTGTTGCTGGACAAATGATCCTGGAAACAATGAGGACAAGAGTTGCTGACTGGTGTGTGTGTGTGTGTGTGTGTGTGTGTGTGTGTGTGTGTGTGTGTGTGTGTTGTGGTTGCGACTGTGACGTCTTCCCTTCTCACTGCATTCCATTTGCTGGCCAGCACACTTGTGTTACAGCCCTTTCATGCCTCTCTGGGCCACCTCAGGTAAGGTTTGCATCATTGCTCCAGGGGGTCTCAGCAGGCTCCACGGGGGGATTGCTCATGCACCCCCACACATGCACCCCAAATTCACCTCACGTTCATTGAGAAGAGATTCTGACAAAAGAAATGTTTTAAAACCAAACTTCCAATGAACTATGTTGTTGCCAACAGGCAACTTTCCTGGAGTGAGCTGCATATGTTAGAATAGAAATTGAGGGGTTAGCTGACCCCCTTGAAAGTACCTGGGAGGGGCAAAGAACAAATGTACTCACCTCGTTACTGCACTTGGTCAGCGATGGCTGCTGTCCGAAATATCTCCCAAGCCTGACAGCAGTGGCACCGGCTCTGCATTTAGAAGGAAAGTGTTCATGTGAAAATCTTTTTTTTCTATTGCCTTTCCTAAATCATCTCCTCCTAGTCCCTTCTTTTTCTTTTGCCTCTTCTCCCATTCCTACAGCTCCTCTACCCCAAAATACAAACAGCCATTTTTGTTTGTGAATTTCAGTAATTTTTATATAGACATTCTTTGCTTAGACAGTGATCATGAAACAGTAAGTTGACCCCTAAGTATTCTGTGGTTAAATGAACTTGAGTGAACACAACGGTGTTCCAAGAACTTACGGCATTTACACAGTGAGTTGAATTGCCATTTAAGATGACTTCTGGAGTAGTGTTTATAAACCTCACTCTTACCTTTTTAAGAAAATGTCTTAGGGATTCTCCAGAAACAGAAAAAGAAATCAAAGTAACTGAACAGTCATGCTCTTGAAATTATCCTGACACCCTGGAGTCAGACAGCTACATTTAGAAAGATGCTTTTGAAAGAGTGCTTTTTTTCTTGTTTTTAAGTTGGATTCATTATGTGTATTGTCTCTTTTGGTTTGTTTGATCTTGCTGAGTCTGAACTGTGTACCTTTGTGGTGTTAGCATTAATGTTGCTAAGCCACCATGTCCTTTGTGGATTTTCATTTAGTTACGAATCCTCTGAAATGAAACCGTTTGGTAGAACAAGCACTTCTTGTATTAAAATATTTCTCCTTCCTCCATTTTCCTTCGTATTGCATTCTAAAGAGAAGTTGATAAATACCTACATAATGGAAAAATGAAAGTAAAATTAAAAATCCAGAGGGAAGCTACTATAGTGCTCTTTCACAAACGTGTGTTGTGTCAGATGTAGGCTTGTATGGGTAGCATCTTCTGTGATAAGTACTGTAAATACTGTATACAGTAACCTCAAATTAGCAATAGGCACAGACCTATAATTGGATATATTTTTAGTTCTCTTCCCCCACCTTTTTTTGCAGAAGAATGTGCTCTTGATCTTTGTAGAGAACATCTTATTAAACTGTTTTTCAAGTGTTAACCCCATCCAAATGTATATCTAGCCAGTATTTTACTGCCATGTAATCACCAGAGCGATGTTTTAAGTTCTGAAAAACACAACACACTGAGTTCTGGAGGGACTGGATCAGGCTGAAAGGTATATTCTGTCTTCCTAGTCAAATCTTTGAGGAAATCTCTATTTAATGTTCCTAAAGTACAGAACTAAATGACAAAAATTGTAAGTGTTTAAACGGGGATATTAAAAAATGAAAATATGGGGCATTACTTGCCTTTTTAAATATGGAAGACACATGCCGTTCTGTAGACCTTCCTACAGAGAACTGACCAACATCTGCCATGAATTTCATAGATGAGCTCTAAGGGAAGGTAGAGCTTGGTTAAAAGACGGGGACAATGTGAAATTATGTCGGAGTTTTCAAAACATGGAAATACTGTCCTACATCTCTCTTGACCCTTGGAGTTTCAATGGTCACATCTGCCTGCATCTCCTACCACCTATTTTCTCAGCACCACCTGCAAATAGCACTTCCTCCTCCAACTCCACATTACCAGGAAGTAATTCTCAAGTTTTCCCCAAAACATATATTTTCATGAAACTCATAGAAAATTTAGCCAGGCCCTTTTTGAGTTTGCCCCTTTCTTTAAGAGGCTAAGCTCTGAATTTTTTGCTCAGTTCTTCTAGGCTTGGCTTGACCTTTCCATGTTGAGTCCAGAGATCCAGAGAGGCCAGTGACCAGGCCACACAATCAAAATAAAGCTGTTGTATTAGTCCATGTATGTTGCTTATAACAAAATACCTGAAACTGGGTGATTTATAAAGAAAAATGACATTTATTGCTTACAGTTTCTGAGGCTGGGAAGTCCAAAGTCCATCTGGTGGTGGCGACATTGACCCAGGGGTTTGACATTGCAAGATGGTGGAAGCAGAGAGAGCAGAGAGAGAACAAGAGAGCAAGACAAATTCTCCTCTTCTTTTAAAGCCCTCAGAACCATGCCCCTGACCACCATTTTTAATCATGCACTATGGCACGTCCTACAATCTAATCATCTCTTCCAGGCTCCACCTTTCAATTACCATAATAGGATTTCCCACCCTCTTTTTTTTTTTTGTCTTTTTTCCGTGTCCGGCAACGGATCGCAACCCTCAGTGTTGCC